GGTCCCCCTGCTGAATGAAAAGCTCTTATACAAATTAAGACTATTCCTTTGGATATAACTATGGTAATATATGCTAACTGACCAGAGTCATATGGGAAAACATTCATGGGTGATGAAGAGATAAAAACTGAAGAGTGCCCAGTATCCTGATGATTCAGGAAAGACAGAAAAAGCAAAGAGGATCTCAGAGTCTGAAGTGAAAGGAAGATGAAAGGAATAGGTGGATTCCTGTAAATCTAAAGTAAAAGCCAGAATGAGTTGAACACTCAAAACACAAGCCTTGGAGACTCAGGAGAATTGGGCCAGAGATATTTTGACCAGGCCCATGTAAGGAAATTTAAGGCCCAGGAACAAGGACCTGTTTTCTCATGGACCAGGAGACCTAGACAAAGATCTTAGATTTCATCTGTGAGTGAAATCAGGCTAGAATGGAGGAAAGAGCCTCCCTAGAAGTTGCAAAATTCAGGGAGCCAGACCTGGGGAATACTTGGCTTGGTTTCTGAGTAGGGCAGAGCAGATTTCTGTATAGTTCTGCAATTGCTGGCCAGAATACAGGCTGTGCCCTAAGAAAGCCTCATGAGGCCCTGAGAAGATTCTGAGCAAATTCTGCTGTCGAGACCAGGCTATGAGGAAATGATCATTGTTGCAGCTGAGAAGCCGCATGGATCTGGAGACTAAGAAGCAGGATACCCAGTACTTCCTTTACATAAGCCAAGATTTAGAGTAGGAGTTTAAGCAAGACATTTCCCATCTCTGGGTTTTAATTTCCTCCTCCACAGGTTAATGTACATGTGAGTTATAAGAATCAAATTAAAAGCTCAGGCATCAAAGTGCTTTGATAATGATATAAATGCTCTTCATGTGAGTCATTATCCCTTCCTCTTCTGCGTCACTCTTACTAACGTAAACCACAGAAATGCCTACTGCTTAGACATCATTTACTAAAAATATATCTCAGACTCTTCAGAAGCCATAAGCAGCATCCTGGTGGTCTCTCAGCCCTCTGTGGAGGATGTGGACCACATGTGAGTGGAAGAGAGGTACTCCATGCAGCTGAATTAGGGCTCAGACAGGCTCTCTGTGATGCCCACAGCCTTGACTTTGGGAGAGCTTTGAGGAAAAGAGTGCATGTGTGTCCTTCAGCAGTTGACTCATTCAGCAGTATAAAATGCAACCATCAAAATGTCTTTCAGTTTCACTTGGGACATAAGGTATTGTTATAGTGCAGTAACCATGGTCTCTCTTCAGTGTGGCTAAACCAAGTTAGGCAACAGCGAGGGCCAGACAAATGTCAAAATTCATTCCAAAACACCCTGCTGGATGCAGGGAAGGTGGTGGGATGAGCTGCTTCCAAGACTGCTGAGCTCAAGCCACTAGAAAACCCATTCACAGATGTTCCTATCTCACTCTCAGCAGCAGTGCATTCACCATCAGCTCAGTGAGCACCCACCCCCAGGTACTTGTGCACAGCTGGTGTGCTGTAGTGGAAGTCCTCTTCATGGTGATGTAACATCAGTGAGCAGATCAGAGCATGGAGGAGTCACTGTGGATCACCCAGAGAGATGCCTGGTGCCCCAGCTTCCCTCTGATCTGTGGCTTTCACATAGACTTCTGACTTCCCCGGCACTCACAGGCCATCACAGGCTTAGGAGTGGGCTGGAGGCTAAAACACCTTTACCAGACAGAGATAACCAAGACCAGACGAGGCTGGGTCCTAAGATCTCTCCCCAGAAGGGCCTCAGGGTACTCCCAACTGTAAGGGGGAAAATCCAGCACGTGGATGGCCAGATGGATTCATACTTGTCACACTGCAGTGCACGGGGAGAGGCAGTCTAACCTAGTCACCGAGCACGAGCAGAGTCAGGAACCCATGCTCTGGTCCCAACTTTGCCAGTGCTCCGCTGTGTAACTCTTAGGCGGGCCACTTAACCTCTCTGTGTCTCAGTTTCCACATCTTTCAAAGGGGAATGTGAAAGTGGCTTCCTCATAACACTTCTAGGATAAACAAAGACATAAAATGGAAAAATCCATGTAAAAACTTATGGGAAGAGATAGAAAAATGCTATACAAAGTATTATCATTCAATGATAAGATGCTCAAAATGTTGTTTGGTGTCCTAAATCTTCATACCCTCCACCATGCCTAATCCAAGATTTAAGGCAATTAATTCCCACCAAAAGAAAGGCCTTTCTTTTAGCTCAGTAGCTTTGTGTATAACCAGTACCTCTCTCAGTCAAGTAGACCCAAAGGCTGCTCTGGGCCAGGATGGCAACATTGAGGTTCCTTTTTCAGGGAGTTCAAGCCATGAAGAAGCCTATAAAACATCGGGAAAAGGCTGGGCCACTTGCTCCTCCAAACCTCTGCATAAGCCCAGGTTAATAAGGGCCAGGGGCAGGTCAAGATGAAAGATCAGATTTTCTAGGACCATTACTAACCCCACTGCCAACCCATAGGCACACAGTAGGGCAGCATCCCCTTGCTGCTCAGACAGCCCTGTGGGCCACCCACACTGGCAGCATGGACTCCATGCTTGCACATGGTTCACCTCCTTTCCTTTGTACTGTGTATCAGGATGGAAGCAAGATTCTTTAAATAAGCAGTGGCATTTTCTGTGTGGCTTCTACTACACTTGAGCACTGGCAATCCCCATGTTTCCCTGTGAACTATGGACACCTAGGGCTAGCTGCCTTCTGGTCATCTTCTTATGTAGCTTCCACAGGAGAGCACCAACAATTCAAACTTAACTTTTTCCTCCCCCAAAATAGGCCCTTCTTCCCATGCCCCGATCTCAGTGAATGGCAACCCAGTGGGCAAGACAGACCTGGGTGTCAAGCCAAAGGACTTTCTCTCCCTCACTTTCCATCACCAAACAGACTTCAAGTCCAAAAGCTCCTGTGATCTGATCTCTTGAAGTCCATGCTTCCTCCTTATACCCATTGTTACTGATTCCATTCAACCTCCCCTAGTTCTCCTCTGTACTATTTTGGTCTCCTTTCCTACAGATAAAGTGACCTTTCTGAAATTTAATTCAAACCATGTCCCTTCTTGCTAGAATTCCTTCATTCACTCTTAACAACCCCTAACACTGAATCCTAAACTCCGGAGCATAATTTACAAGACCTTCCAAGCACTCTGGTTTCACTCCCATTCCCAGCACACCTCATGTTCCTACCAAGCCAAGTTATCTGAAATCCCCTAAGCGCCCCAGGCTTTCTCTCCCTTCCTACTAGCCATTCATTTTGGATATATATTCTAGCCCTCTCCTCGCCCCCCTTCACCAGCCTAACATCTTCATACCTCAGCTTAAAATCACATCCCCTAGGAAGTCCTCTGTGAATAGTTCTTCTCTCAGTGTTATGTGCTCTTTCTTTACACCACAGTGACTACCACAGCCCTTTATCATATTTATTGTGGTTGCTTATTTAACTATCTCTCCTACTAGACTATAAGCTCTAATATGAGACTTTCTTATTCACCAATTTGTGCCTGGCCTAGGAAAATATCTAGAATATACTTGGAGATGAATGTGTGTGTGTGTGTGTGTGTGTGTGTGTGTATAATATATTCATTATAATATATATGTATATAATGTATATATATAATATATATTATATATGTATATAATGTGTGTGTGTATAATATATTCATTATAATATATATGTATATAATGTATATATATAATATATATTATATATATGTATATTATATATATATATATATAAAACAGTGAGTGAATAAATAAATGGGTAGACGGATAGATAAACAGTCTAAGTATAAAAAGTTAAACCCCTGAGAGCCACAAAGGGCCTATTTACAGCATCTCTATGGCTTCTAGGCCAAACCGTTTTCAATAAGGTAGGACAGGCCTAGCACAGACAAAAAACCACTAATACCAGAGGCCTGGGCCAGACTTTGAGTGACACCAGGGATTTCCAAGTTACCATTTCATTTTTGCCATCCCTTACTTTTCTAAAGTCTCTCCTCAAGTGTCACTGGGATAGACTAATCTAAGATACATATGGCAGCAGTGTTGCTGGGGGAAAGAGGGTGAGGGGCAGATACATAGGACAATTGTGTACTGGGGCCACAGAGTTGGGGGATGTGTGGGGCCGAGCATGCAGGCTAGGAGGGTACCGAAGAGTTGACACAGCTTCAAGTGCAGGGCTGAGAGGAGGCACCAGGTCAGAAAAGACAACAGGAAAAGTAGAAATGGGCCAAGGCACACAGGGCAGGCTGAGTGGGGGCTACGACACATCAATGAGGTTCCAGCTAGGAGGATGACAGGGGTGAGGGTGAAGGGCAAGGATAAGGGAAGGACAGCTGATAAGCTGCGGGGTCCTGGATTATTGCCGGAGTAAATGAACATTTCTAGCAAGCAGGTAAGTTGGTGGGCAGGAAGGACTCCGGTAACTTATCTTCCAGAACGTTCAGTGCCCCTAGATGCTCAGCTACCTCTGTAGGACATCCTCACAGACCAACTCACCCAAGAAACTCCACTGATTCAAATTCTAAAGCCAGTCAACTTTAGGTTGTGGGGCCACATAAAATGTTTTCCTTATTTTCACTGCTGGGAAAAAACAGTCTTTGGATTCTGATAAACCCAGTTTTAAATAAACCTCACCCCTCTCATCTACTAACTATAGGGCCCTGGACCTCAGTTTCTTCAGCTAGAAAGTGGGGTGCCCACCTCACAGAACTGTGAAGCCCCACGTGCCATTCCAGGCGCTGTGTAAGTGTGTAATTTCCTTTTCCCTTTCCCACTTCCACTCTAAATGAAGCCCAACCACTGTCATTTTAAGTGTATGTGTGGGAGTGGAAATGGGGTGAAGGAGGACTATGTTGCAGACTCATTAGGACAGACGGCATGAGTCAGGGCCGTGCAATATTCAGGGATGGAACGGGGACACTCCTCCCCCCACCCAGTCATCCTCAGCTGGGTCCCTGGGGTCTTGGCCAGCAGTGGGTCCCCCGTGGTCAGGGAACATGGGCTCCATTAGTACCTTTCTCACCACATTCGGAGAGGAGTGCTGGATGGTGCTGTCCAGTGGGGGGACACTGGGAGGGGTTTCTTCCCCGGATGCCTGGGGCAAGTTAGCAGCAGTATTCTTGTCAAGAGGGAGAGCCGGCTTTGGACCTTCAGATGCTGGGGGCTCATCTGAAGCCTGAAGAAGAAAATAAGAACTTAGGTGGGTTTTACTGCAAAGAGTAGCAACAGCAGCAGCAAAGGCTGATGCCCACCCTGCATTCCCTGCATTGCCCATTGTCATCAACTACACACTGTGACCTGCTTGAAATTTTTTCAGAAAGAATGATACTCTTATCTAAACTCTTGCCGAGACTACATCCTAATATGACAGTCTCAGGATAGAACCCAAACTGAGAATTCTGGGCTAAACCTCGCCATATGCACTTTAGCAATCCTAATGGTTCTGACTTACATTTTGCCTGTGGTCCTCAATGAACCCTAGACCTTTCTGTGCCATCATGAGGTGGCTTCATATCTCCTCAAAGGAACTGAGCCTCAGAGGGAGATATCTGAAGCATGATCTGACACTGTCAGTGATAAAGCAGGAATGCGAGGTCTTACATTTTATAATAAAGTGAAAGTCCATAGAGCTGCTTTGAAGATATAAATGTGATTACAGAATTAAAGGACACACCACTGGGGGAAAAGTGAGAAAGGATAGGAAGAAGGGGCTGGAACAGGAAACTCCAGGAAAAAAAGAAAAGCACGAGTTAAGGATGAAGATGTGGAACGCAGCAAAGATCCCAGAGGTACAAATGTACCTCCTCAGTTGGCTCGTAATTAAGAGAAGACAAGAGCAGCATTCATCACCTCCCTAGGGAGAGAACGACACCTCTTCTGTGGAATTGCAGTCAGCAGACCGGGATCCAAATCTTGGTTCTGTTGCTCAATGTTTTATGATCTCCAGGCAAATGCTTGCCTTCCCTGACCCCCACTTCTGTGCCTATAAAATACACATGGCAATGCCTCCCTAACACTGTTGATAGGATAAATCGTATAGTATATATAAAACATACCTAGCGTAGGATGTTTGAAGTAAATTTTAAGTCCACAGATGTGTAGTGTTAAAAAGATGCTGCCCACTAGAATCAAATGCATGCCCTCCTGCTGCTCCTGAAGCTCTCCCCTTGCACCCGAGATTCCTAAGTTCCCAGCCAGGGAAGTGGGAGGTTACAAAGATAAGAGACAGATTCCCTTCTGTTCTTGCAATGGCAGGAGGCTAGCACAGCTCAGAAGGTTCTATTAATGGACAAGGTCTCTAGTGTCATCTAGGAAGGCAGGGCTAAGCCAGGCCACTCTGGAGAGTATTAAGCCTGCATCTACATTGGGGCTAAGTATCATGTTCTCTAGAGCTTTCCTGAGGCAGGGAGGACTGGAAATGTGAGGGCTGAATTCAAGACCACCCTAAGATGAAGAATCTGTGTTCCTGTGATTGGGGAGGCTGGGTTTGCTGAGCAATCCCAGGACAGGGAGGACATGTGTCCGAAGCCACCCTGAGGCTCACCTGCACGGCATCCTCCTGGCTCTGGGACTGGATGGGTGCTGGCTGCCTCACAATGTAGTTGATCTGCCCCACAATGGTTTGCTGGAGGTGCTGAGGAGATTTGGTCTGATTCAGCTGCAGGCTGGGCTGTTGGGCCTGAAGAAGAAGCTCCAGGTCCTTCTGCATCTCCTCCAGCTCAAATTTGTGGTGCATTATATCCATGTTCTGGGAGCAGGCAGGCCCCTGAGGGCTCCCATGCTGACTGGGAGCCAAGTGCTGAGATGGAGGTAGAGGTGGTGGTGGCGGCTGCTGGGATGGGGGTGGTGGAGGTGGCAGAGGTGGCAGCTGCTGCTGTGGCTGTGGCTGAAAGTGGCTGAGCTTCAGCTTCTGGTGGTGGCCGAACTGGACTTGGATAGAGGGTGTCTGTAAGGGGGGCTGGGCATGGGCTCCTTGCTGAACATCCTGCGGGGGCACAATGCACACGGGCTGGGAAGTCAGCTGCTGCCCCGGCCGCTGGGACACGTTCTCCTGCTCCGCGGGGGGCTGCGTTTCCAGCCAGGGCTGCATCAGCTTCGGTGGCTGAGGATTGCAAGCCAGCTCTTTCTCCCTGGGCAGCAGAGTAGGGCACTGCAGAGACCCCAGCTGTTGGGGTGCCATCTCAGAGGGTTGTCTGAAGCTGTGAGCTGAGTGTATGCTGGGTGGGGGGACCTGGCCTTTGAGGGAGGGTGAGACTGGGGAGCAGTGGGAGCAGCACACAGATGAGGAACACAGTGCTGGAGACTGGAACTTATGTGAGGGGTGGCTGAGAGTCTCTTGCTGTGCCACCGGGGACTGGTGGCTTTGATAAAAGGATGGCGGTCCCTGTAAGCCTCCATAGGCAGGAGTCTCTGCCCGGGACAGCTGTCCACCTTCAGTAGTTATACAGCCTGAAAATTCAGAACAGAAAATGGTTCCAAAGGGAATCTGCAGTTGTTCCCCACTTGCTACTTCCTGCTCCTGGGACCAAAAGACATGATTCAATGAACTTGTACCAGGTGCTGAGATTAGGAAATTCAACCCCTGATCTCCAAGACTCGGTCTAGAATGCTGCCAGCAATGGAGCCAGGTATGGACCTTTGGGGACCAGGGACATTTGAGACATTAGCTCAGCTTTTACCAGATGCTCAGTCCTCACTCTGTTTGTATCCCACTACAGAAACCATGGGCTCCTTCAAATAGCACCCACTCCTTTTTAACACTGGCTCAGACAAAAAAAAAAAATCATAACATTGGGGATGGGGAGGTAGCATGCTGGAGGGTAGCAAAGGAGAGAGTGTTGACCCTGGGACAAATGACCAAGTCTCCAAATATAGATCTGGGGGGCTGTACTTTGGACAAGTAGGATGGACAGGGTCGGGGAGCTCCAACACCAGGTCAATGGCAGACACCAGCACTGTCCTGAGGTCCCAAGCCCTTGTGCATGAGTAGACACCATCGATGTCTAGCTCAGTCTCGTGGCGTCTTCAGCTCATTGTCTTGATGAGGCTTACTCTGGGGAAGACCCAACAACTTGAGAGCCAGAGTGTGTCCTATTCATCTCTGATCCCTTAGCACCCAGCATGGGGTGCTAGCCCACAGAAGGGGCCAACCAAAGGTCTGCTGAATTAAATCAAAGTGGAGAGGGAAGCAAAGAATAAACCTAAATATTATGCTTCACTCTGTCGAGTTCAAAAAAAGTTCCATAGAGGTTAACAACCCAGATGAAGGCAGCAGTTGGCCGTTAGTTTAACAAACCTACCATTAGGCTATCAACACAGGTATGACCTCAAGTTGTCTACATTCTGCCTAAAGACCCGGTGCCAGAAAATCACTGCAGCAGGGAGGGCCACAGATGATCTGTTTCCATCTTGACTTCCTTAAAGGGGGTGTGTGGACACTACCCCCTCTCCCTTCCTCCTTCCTTCTCTCACTTTGTTGCTGATACCTGTTTTGTGCCTACACACACGAATACCCTTATATGGCCACAGAGACAGAGGTTCACCTGCACTGCCATACAGCATTCCGGAGAGCAGGGCCACTGTCTTGTTTCCTCCAGCAATGAAACCAAGGTAACAGGGACATTCATGCAGAATGGAAAGCTCAGATTTCAACTGGTCTTGTTACAAAAGTCCTGCATTGCCATTGCTATTTAAGTTGTCCCCCTCTCCAACCCCAACCCCCACCTCATGCCCACACACACACAAAAATCTGCTGAGTGACTTCATGACCACTGGCAGTCTCGGGGAGTGCCTTCTCTTGGGATTAGGCTAACCTACACACTAAGCTACGCAGATGCTCTCTATTCATTGTTAGCAATTATGTAAAAGCCCACAGGGTGGGCCTGGCTCACCAAGGGAAGCCAGTTGCTTGGTCCAGAAGTTAGGCTCCCAGGTGAATCTGATACTCCAAGGGGAGCCAGGATCTGTGTTACAGTTTGTCTCCAGCAATCGCTGCATCTGAAACACAATCTGACAACAGCACCAAAGGTCATTTCTTTGGGCATCTTGCACCTGAATGACAACTCCCTCTCCCTCACTCTTCGACAGGGTGAAGGGCTCAAAGCCATGGGTCTTTAGTCTCAGGTCCCCCATACACTCATTTCCTTGCACCTTGGCATCTTCACATCCCTTCCCCTGCCCTTGTCTCCTCCCCATCACCAGCTCATCCCCTTCCTTTTATCCAGGTTTCCTGATCCCCTATGCTTTTATCTCTTTCAGGCCTTGAATGGTCTGTAATTGTCCCTCAGACATCACCTGCCTGGAGCCCTCTCAAGAGCTGCATTCATTCTCTTATAACCTTGATTTGAAAGCCTATGAGGGAAGACCTTCTCTGAGCTCCCACTGCTGTCCTTCCACCCACATGTAACACCCCATCCTAACAACTGCCCTCTTCCTCACTCATCACTTCCATCAATACCCTATCATGAACTTTCCCATTTTTCTAGGACTTTGGCAAGCGTCCAACTCACCCTGCCATCATCTAGTAAACTAATGCCCCAGTCAAGGTCTTGGCCTCTTCCTTCCTTCCTCTCTTTTGTATCAATCACCTTCACCCCTCTTTTCAGGTTAGCTACCACACCCAGACCTTCTCATCTTCTAGAGACCCTCATCTCCAGCAACTGGCCCCTGCTTTAACTAGCTCTCACTCTTACTGAGCACACTTGCTCCTCAACCTCACTGAACTCCCCAAGCCCTGCACCACTGGTCCCTAAGGCCATCCCGGCTTCCCATCATTTTTAGTAATAGTATTACTAGAGCCTAACTCCCTCTGTATCACCATGGTCTATTAGCCTTAGGTCAATCCACACATCCCAAAGCCATGTTATCTGGGGCCTCTTCAGAGATCACTAACCTCAGGGGTACCCTATAGTCCTTTTTCTTATCACTTCTTTTCTTGTTGGCTTCCTCTTCCACTGTCCTCGATGACTATGTAAAGTCCACACTTCTCTACTCAATTCCACTTACCCGGTATCCAACCCTCCTATTATCACCCCCTACTTCAGAGAGGACAAGAGGCACAAAAGACAAGCTGCCCCAAACTGGAACCATGCCTACCTCCAACCTTAACTATAGTATACTGAGACCCTTCTGTCCTCCCTTCTCAGAGGATATGCCTCTTCCGGTTTAGGGTCCACTGGTTCACTCTAGGTTCTACTTCTTCCTGCCTTCTCAGGATGCTCACTCCACCACCCATCTCCTTCTCTATCATCGACCTTTTCTCCCAAAGAAACTTGCACAAATGCCTACCACACTTTAAAAAAAAATCAGTCCCCCAACTCCATCCCCTTCTCAAGCTACCTTATTTCTTCTCTTTTCACATGTTTCTAATTCATCCCCTCTGTCCCTCAGGCCCCTCATTCTAGCTTTTCACTCTCCTGTTTTGCTGGAATTTCTTTCAGAAGATCACCAGGGACCTCCTGATTCCCAAAGATCTCAAGGCTTCTCTTCACTACTCCTCCTCTTTCACCTAGATAGTGATAATAATGTGGACCATTTGAAATGTAAAAGTGTTCATTTCTGTGCACCACACCCTCCTATTTTTCATGCCATCTCTGACTCTTGCTTCTTACCCTCCTTTACTCTTCTTCTTCCTCTGCGTATGCTGAAAATGATAGTATTGCCCTGGGTTCCATATTTCTTGTCTTCTTCCTTCACACACTCTTCTGAGGTGATACCACCAAGATCTCAGTTACTCCCACATCTCTAGCCCCAACCCTGATTTTTCTTCTGACTTCTAGACCCGTCAAGCAGAACAGATTTTGAGATGCCCTGCAGGCACCTTAGGATTCAACATGTACAAATATAAACCCTCCAAAAGTATTGCTCCTTCTCCTGGTCTTCACCATCCTCACAAGCCCAATACCTCAACATCATCCTTGACTCCTCTTTTCCTCTTAGCCCCCATTTAAACCCAAACAATTGTATGTGGGATTCCCCGAACACTGCTGGTGTCCGGGCTCATGTCTGAATCCATGACCTAACACAGAACTACAGAAATTCCCACCTGAGTTGCCTGGAGGAAAGCAAGACCATTTTAGCACCTGTCCTTGGCACTGTGGGGTTTGGTAAAAAGATGCTTATTCACTTACTAGCCCAAAAGCAGTGATTGATGAGTTGGAGCTCTTACCAGCTCTTTGCTGAACAGGAAAGGAACACTGGTTTTGCTGCACACAGCCCAATTGATGAAGTTCTGCACATGTTCAAACTGACGGTTGAGAACCATGATGTTCTGTAGCTGTTGCTCCAGCTTCCGCTTTCTCTCATTAGTAATGCCCTGTGTATGGACAAAGACAGAGTCCCTGATCCTGTTCTCAGACTTCAGTCCACCTGTTTGGGGAGTCTGGTGGCCTGTGGATCGGCGTGAACCCTGATGGGGTCAGATGAAACTGTGCCCCTAAGAGGAAGACAGTGGGACAGAGGGACACAGGAAGGGAGGGAGGATGGTGGGTGGATTTTATAGCACATATATGAAATGGGTGATAAACGAATGAGGACATGAACAAATGCCTACATCTCTTGGGCATAACTTGTTTCATAATCCTCTCTTCCAAGGCTATAAACATGTATAGACCAGGACGGCAGATGACTTGAAGCCTTATAATATTAATGGGAGCTTGAACTGATTTTCCAGCTCCATGAGCCTCCTCCCCAAATTAGACTGGACATTTTAAGATATAGGAACAGCAGAAAGCTCTGGAAACTGCATGTCTGAATTCCAGCTCAGGTGGCTCTGAGCCCTGGGACTAGTTTGATATGTGCCCAATTTCTGACCTAGGGAGAACACCAACCCATCCATCTGATCCATCTGTCCATATATACCTCCAACTCCTCTATGAGCCCATTGGCCTGTTTGTTCAGTTCATTCATCAGAACCATCTTGGCCATTTTGATCTGGTTTTCCACCTTCCTGTGTTGATGCTTCACTTCAAAAATCCTATAAACAGAACGAGACATAGCATGGTGAGCCCCTCCCTCCAGGCCTATGATGACCTAGAGATAGCAAACATTAACAGCCAACAACTTAGAGGCTGCCTATGTAGATCAGGGGCCAGCAGGCACCAAATATAAAGAAATAAGAACCCTCCTCCACCACCCAACCCTTTGTACAATCCAGCCCACTTGATTTAAGTAGGCCAATGGCCCAAAGTTCAACCAAGTTTTCTCTAGGTAAACCTCAGGTCCACACTCAGGTCAATCCAGCTCATTAGTCACACAGCAATGGAGACAGGACAGAAAGAGTGATTATGAGTATAATATCATGTAATCTGCTGTCTTAAAAAGCTGGACGCTCCACTAAACAGCACCATGCAGTAAAAAGAGCATGGGGAGGGACAGAAAGTAGATTAGTGGTTGCCAAGGGCTAGGGAGATTGGGGGGAATGGAGAGTAATAATGTATATTGGGTTTCTTTGAGAAGCAAATAAAATGTTCTAAAAGTAGATGGTAATGATTTATACAACTCTATGAATATACTGAAAACCACTGAATTGTACATTTAAAAGGACAATTTTATGGTATATAAACTATATCTCAGTAAAGTTGTTTTTTAAAAAAATAACATGGGCTTTCAAGTCACACAAACCTAGCTTCAAACTCCAGCTCAATCACTGACTAGCCATGTGATCTCAGACAAGTCACGTAACCTCTCTGAACCTCAGTCTTCTCATCAGTACAATGGAGCTAATCCAACTCAAAGAATTGTAAGAATTGAACAAAATAATGCATGTACGATGTCCAACTCAGTGCCTGTCACATGATGAGCTCTTAGTACCTACTAATTCCTTTTCCTACATTAAATATTAATGGTTCTCTATCATTTGTAGATGTATATGGAAGACACTAGGAAAGGGGTGATAAAGGGTAGATTGCCACTGACTTACTGCAGCCTCGTGATAAACCCAGAATCTGCTTCATGCCCTCATTCTCAAGCACCTACCTTCTGGCTATGTCACGGCCACATTCAGAAGGCATGTGCTCAAGCTCAAACTCACACTGAACACCCTGACCTAGCTTGGTCCCATTCACCAAGTGATGGCCCAAAGCCCTTTCACTGGCCCTGAGACCTCTAAGTTCCAGGACATATGCCTTCTGGGACATATGCCCACATCTGATTAACCTTATGTATTCTTCAGAAGTTCTCCATTTGATAGCCTGATATAAGCATCCAGGATGTCAAGAAACAAAGCATTTCCAGAATTGGCAAGGGGCTAGTCTGTGTTACCTGTCCTCAATTTGTTTTGCAGATGTCTGTAGACCAGATTTCTTGTGAGCCACCTGTGTAGTCACACTTTCCAGAAGCATCCTTTGGTTTTGCAAAACTTCTTCAAGATGTCTACACCTAAAGGAGGAGGCAGAGGTAAAGCTGAGGAGAGCCACACCTTCTTCTGAGCATGCCAGTCAAGCAAGAACCCCTAGTATGTATTGTCTCAGCCAGGCCCATGGAAGCTGGGATTATTACCTCTAGGTAAAGTCAGAGATAGTGATGAGTCTTAACCCTTCAGGTCTTCTCCAGAGAAGCCCCAGGGCAGGAGCAGAGAAAAACTCCAGCCTCAGGGCTCCAGACTGGCATAGGCAGAGAGAGGGTTTTGATGCACTGGGAGGCCAGCACTAGCAAAGCAGAGTCCAGAGCCCTCCCAGGCCCCCTTTGAGCAGCCAGCCATCCCTACCTGTGTTCTTTGTGTTCCACCATGAGGCAGCTATGGCATGTTAGAACGTCACAAGTCTCACAGAATAGCTTGAGCACTTCCTGTGTGTGTAGAGGACAGTACAAGGCGAAATCCCCAGAACCACCACTTACTCCTGCCAGAGAAGATAGAGACAGTGGGCATCTCTTGCTCAGGAAGACTCTCAGATAAGCTCCACTGAGCAGCCCTTAGCCCTCCATGGACACAGGGGAGACACAGAACCTGGAGGGAAGGTGGTGCATGCAGGAAAGGTCTCTCTCTGGGCCAGTGAAGTTCCAGGAGCACAAGGAAGCATGTGATAAGCTTAGCCCAGCTGGATCTGCCCAGCTGTCCAGAAATCACACACCATCCTGCCCCAGGTGTTCTACTGCCTGCCAGAGGCTGAGGAAGGTGCTTGCTACTGCAGCATGTGGATCTCCTGCAGAGTAACCGGCTCCTCTAAAATTCAACCTAAAGCTCTTCATTAACCAGGGTGCTGCTGCAGGGGCTCCAGGCCGGGTCACAGACCATTAACTGTGCTTTGTGTGGGCATGATGAAAATAAAACCCTTCCCACAGTTCAAGGACCCTGGGCAAGGACTGTCAAGGAGACTGCCATTGAAAACAAGTGTTAATGGATGGACAAATGGACAAGCCCTGATCCAGGCTGTTTAATTGTGCAAGTAACTAAATAGAAGTGAGGCACGATTGCTCTACATACAGATGAAAGTAGGGAACTCAGCTAGCTTTCACAATTATTCATGACTACTCCTCCCTGCACATCTCACCCACACTCACGCCTCCCACTCCCAATAAGGGAGAGCCTAGCCATAAACTTGCACTATGGCTGTGACCCTGGATAAGACATTTTTCTTTTGAGAAAGGCTCTAAGCCCACCTCTACCCTCACCCCCAGCAGGGAGACAAGGTCGAAGAGCTTCTCTCGAGAGGTTTTAGGGGCTAGCACTGCTTAAGGGCATGTGAGCCAGCGAAGCAGGGAGAGATACCTGGTGGGCCCTTCTGGGCCCGGGGAAAGAGCGGGCCCCCAGGGGCTGGGCCGTGCCGGTGCTCCTCCGTGCAGGAGCTGCACAACCAGCGGTTGCAGTAGGTGCAGAGGATGTGTGCTGCCCTCTTCTCCTTGCACTCGGAGCAGTTCTGGAAGCAGAGAGGTCTGGAGTTACTGACAGTAGCCTCATTTGGGCCTGTCTCCATGAGGGACTAGGGGCCTGTGGGGCTATTCCCAGGAGGGCAGTCGATTCTGGAGAGCTGCCTGGGAGTGACACTGGGTGGCTTGTGAAGGAAATCATCCTTTATGACTAAAATAATAGTAGACTCAGGGGCTATTCCCCCAAATCTCATGCTGAAGGTGAGGAGTAAGGCAAAGGTCTGCTTCCAAGGCACACACAGCCTGCAGATGGTTAATGGGTGATGCTGTGAAAAAAGCACACAGCCAATGCTAAGGAAGCAAAGAGAGGTTTCCAGGAGCTCAGTCTAGGAGTTGCCAGGAAATACTTCATGAGGAAGTGTCTTCTGATTGGATATGGAATGACAAGTAGAAGTTTCCCAGACATGCAGGGGAGTAAAATGGGAGAGTGCAGGCAAAAGTGGGAAGTTCAGCGTGCCTGCAAAAAGGGAGAAGCCACAGATGTGGGAGTACACAGAAAGACGATCAATCATATACAACCAAGAAAGAACAAATACAGACCAACTCTCAGGGCTGTGTTTCTACCACTGGGGCTTGCTGGGCCCAAGAGAACCCAGTCCTCTCCTAGCCCAAAGGTTCGTTGATTTGGTCAGCAAATATCTGGCAGCACTAATGTAAAAACAGGTGTAAAAAAGGAAATTTGAAAAAAAAAGTAGCCTGTCTGTGCCTGAATAATATAGGCTGTCAAAATCATGTTATTCTGACAGCTTTGTCCTCACACTGGCCTCTTACCAACCCACGGTGGAGGAATAATAAAGAAGAGAAATACAAGGTTTACTAATTAAACAATGCTTTCCTTGAGAGCAGTGAACATGGGTGTCTGTCTCCCTAGCACCCAGCACAGGGCCTGGTACATGTCAGACATTTACTAAGAATTCGATATAGGATCAAGTAAGTCCACTGGCAAATGAAGAAAATGTAGTGCCAGGAACCCCAGAGGAGAAAGGAACAGTAGATGCCAGGCAGTAAGTGATGTGAAACTGCAGAAACTCAGAAGAAGAGGTATTAGTTACTAAATATAGGCAAGATTGATTAACCCATTTAGCTGGTGTATAAGTTTCAACTGAGGGGGGAGGAAAAAAAGGAAAGATCAGTACTAATATTTTTCAGTCAGAGCTGTAAGAGAGAGAAAAATTTACGTCAAATATTTTAATTCTCTTTAGATAGAAGGAAGAAGGGGGGGTCGGGAGGAAGTAATGAAGGGAGGGAGGAAGAGTAGGGAAATTGATAGAAGCGTAACAAGCCAGAAGAAGTGATGGGTGAATAGATGAACTTATGGACAGGGGCCTCACAGATTTCTGAAAAGGATCCGTTGTTTCTTTGCTTGTCCTGACTTACCCTGGCCATCTTGGATCGCCCAGTAGAAAAGCACTGCAGAAAAAAACGTTCAGTTACATCCCTGGTAAGGTACACTTGCTTACACCCAGGACAGGAGATGAGCTCTGGGAAGGGGGCAAAAAAGCAGAGTCAGGGCAACATGGCAGATTATACATAAGGCCTAGACACAAGGCTTTCTACTACCTAACACCAAGGCGTGTGCCAATACCACTTGTGCCAAAATGACCTATGTCTGATGTCATAGCCTGCACTTACCATCTAGGTACTCCGGACATGACCATTCTATTAGGGGCTGGCCCTACAGACCTCCTCTCATCCCACATTCCTGCCTTCTTCACAAGCCACGCTACCTATTCTGGTTCTGATAACTGGGTGCCTTCCTGCTGCTCCCACTCCTCATTCCCCAGCTCTAAGAGCCAACCTCCCATTACTGGCTAAGCTCCAGGGAGTCAGTTTAGCCCAGGACACAGATCCAGCCGCTAAGGCTACCACACAGCAGAACTACTATAAAGATCTCAAAGCCAGAGCTTCCAGAAAGCTCTTACCACAAAAAGCAAGGCCTCCCTGTCAGCTCGTCTAGGAGATATTTTTTTCTTCTTAGTGCCAATACTAGTCAGTCTGCCCATGGGGCTCGCAGAGCTTTTGCGGGGCCTTCTCCACCTAGTCCATGTTGCATGTGCTACACAGACGTATGTCTCACCTGAGCACATGAACATCTTGTCTTACCCCCTCTCCCCAGAGAAATGTAACTGTCTCCAACGCTTTCCTCAGCATAGGGGGTTTCCAAACTACATAAGCAGCATGAGACTGCCACCCTGGAGACTAGAGTACTCTTTGGGCCCACCTCAAGAGCAGGAAGCTCACTGGGTATAAGGCAATGAGTCTCCTGGGGAGGACCAAGAGCCTGTGCCCAGGCATGACGGCCTCCTGGAAAGGGGTGGCTATGGCAGACAATACAGCAGTACTACCACAATCTTTTCTGCCTCGTATCATCTAAATGATACAATGACAGTTGCTCTAGACTTGCAGTCAGACAAACTTAAGTCTAAACACAAAGTTTATCACCCAGTGACCTTGGTTGGGCAAGCCACTTAATCTCACTTAGCTCCTCAGGACTCCTGTTTCTTCATGTGTGAGATAGGAAGGGAAAATAAGAGTTGTTGCAAGGTATAAATTAAATAATACTTGAGAAAGCACCTCATCCTCCATGAATGTTGACTTTGAATTCAAAACATTTCTCATATCTCATTTACGGCAAGGCAATGACCTCAATTATCAACTCTCCCAGGTGATGGAAGTCGGATAGTCTGAGAGATAGAGTAAAAAAAACCATAAATTCTCCCTCCCTCAAAACTCAAAACCCTGCTTCCATGCTCTAGGATGGAATGGAGTCTATTCTCCACCCTTTGAAGCTAGGCCGCCTTCATGACGTACTTTGGCCAAAAGAATGCAGCAAAAGTGACACGGAACACGTTCTAAGCCTGGGCTTAGTATGATTCTTCTCTGCTCTCAGAACTCTAAGACTGCCACATGAGCGACCCCAGGTTAGATTGCTGGAAGATGAGAGAGAACATAGACAGAAGCCTCGGTTCTCTCTAGCACTCACTTGAAGCTGTCATAAACCAATTAGCCCCAACTGACTCACCAGCTGAATACAGACTCAGGAGTGAGCACAGTTGAGCCCCGCCAAGGCCAGCCAAGCCCCAAAGAACCACCCAGAGAGTCCCAGCCCAAACTGTTGACCTACAGAATCAATCTTTTAAACTATTAAGTCTTGAGTGTCTTATAATGGAGCAAAAGTTCACTGATCTATCCTGGGAAAATAAAAATCCACAAAATCATGCAAAGTAATAGTTCAATACTCTTCCTCCCCCACTGAAGAAACTCTCCCCAGCCATCACAGAGCTATGGATCTGCAACCTTTCAGACATTCTCCTGCTGGTCAGGGGGAGTGGCCAGGGGCAAAGAAGAATGGTCTTCATAGGTGTCGTCATCCAGGTGAATCAGGTGACTGTCCCTCCCTTTCATTTGGCCCACCATGGGGAGACTTTTCCTTATCTACCTCCAGGGCCAAAATGCTGCTGTAATAATTTCCACAAGGCTTCCAACCCCCTGGTAGCAGATGCCCAAACATTAGTCTCATCAGCATCATGGAAAAAAGAGAGAAACAAGTGAATAGATCAGACAAGGCCTCATAGCACATCCTATACTGCCCCTGGCTGTAAATGCCAAAATCCTCATCTTGAGGCTCAAGATAGCCTTACTTCTCTCTAATGTCATCTTTAGCTTTACCCACCACTCACCCTGTGTCCTTGCCAGGGCAAATATCTCTGCTGTCTTCAGATTATCAAACTTCTGCATAACTCTGTGAAAGTGCTGTTCTCTCTCCCTGAAATGCTTTCTTGCTCCCCTCCTTTTCAAATAAACTCCTGTCATCCTTTCAAACCTGTTCAAATGTTCGGCCTTTAAGAAGCAGGGTTGATTTCCCTCAGGATGAGTTAATTATTCCCTCTTCTGGGTTCTCACAGCACCCTGAACATCCTCTAGTATGACAAATATCACATTGCATTTTAACTATCCGTTCATATGTCTGCATACAAAAATAATCCACAATTGGCACTAAAAGATATTGCATAATTTTTAGCAGATTGGACAATTATATTTCTTTGGGGTTTGGGTATCCCATGCGTATTCCGTGCACTCACAGCCACTGAGAGTAGTAAGAAACCATCTGGAAGTTTTCAGGGTGATGAGAAAAAAGCCAGCCAGGATGATAAAGGAATCAGGTCTGATCTAGAGCTGTGAAACACTGTGAATTAGGAGATGTGGGTTCCAGGCCTAGGGCTGACACTATCTCTGTAACCTTAGGTAAGTGACCTCTTCCCCTGAACCTTACTGTATACATCCTTCATAATGAGGGGAATAGGAATATCAGCGAAGTGTGGATTATCCAACCTGCTTCCTCTGCCTACTGCACCCAAGCTCCAGAAATAGTCCCCCTGGACAAGACTAGATGGGACAGACAGCCAAACAGTGACCTGCCTATTGTCTTTGTCAGCAAGTCAAGTCAGGAGACAGGCTTATGGCTTAGGGAAGGTCTCCATCTAAAAGTCATCCCATCTGAAGAGGGGCTGCCACAGCAGACAGCAAAGATGGAGAACCACCACGGCGGTGGTACAAGCAGGCCCCAGGGAGGCTGTGGGGCCCAAAGTAGACACAGAGGATATGTGCTCTCTTTGGGTCACAACATCTTTGTGCAGAAATTCTCATCTCCCTTCAGAAGGCCCCTAACCCCCATCAAGCTGTGTTAACCTTGAGCTTTTGTTTCAAGGGGGTTCCCCATTCTTCAATGTGAATCCCAAAACAAAGTTTTATTTTAGACAACTATAATACATGAACCCCTAGGGCTGCAGATGTATATACAAAATAACCAAACATCTGCTTACAATATCTAACATTTAATGTTTAATATTAAGTCATTAATACACATTTAAATCACATAGTACATAAAATAATTAGATATAGTTCTTTTTTCTATTAGGATTATTCAAGAAATAGCCTTAAGCTTTTATTTCATATACAGAAACATCAATTCTGAGCAATGCAGAGTCAG